TCAAGATATAACATTATTATATTATAATAATATACATTATTATATTATATATATTATCATGTATATTATATATGTATATCAAAAATAAACATTAAAATTTTTTTTAATGTTTTATTTATTTCTGAGAGAGAGACAGGCAGCATGAGTGGGGGAGGGTCAGAGAGAGAGGGAGATACAGAATTGGAAGCAGCCTCCAGGCTCTGAGCTAGCTGTCAGCACAGAGCTCGACGCGGGGCTCGAACCCAGGAACCGTGAGATCATGACCTGAGCCGAAGTCGGACACTTAACTGACTGAGCCACCCAGGTGCCCCAAAAATGTTTTTAAAAAGAGGGAAAATAGTAAGTGTTGGCAAAGATATTGGAGCCCTTTTATATAGCTGGTAGGAATGAAAAATGGTGCAGCTACTGTGGAAAACAGTTTGCCAGTTCTTCAAAAAGTTAAACATGGCATTACCATATGACCCAGCAATTCCTCTACTAGGTGACTACTCAGAAGAATTATACACTCATTTTCAGAGAAACAATATTCACAGTAGCCAAAAGGCAGAAAAGTGCGTAAATATCCATTAAAAGATGAGTGGGTAATAAACAAATTGTGGTATATACATATAATAGAATGTTATTCAGCCTCAAAAATGAAGAACTGAAACGTGCTACACTGTGGATGAACCTGGGAAACATTAAGTGAAAGAAGTCAAACACAAAAGTTTAAATATTGTATGATAACGTTTATATGAAATATCTTGAATGGCTAAATCCATAGAAATAGAATGAAGGATTGGTGGTTGCCAGGGAGGAGAAAATAAAGAGCATGTGCTAATATGTACATGTTTTTCTTCTGGGGTGATGAAAATTTTTTAGATTTATGTAGAGGTGGTAGTTTGACAACATTGTGAATGTCCTGAATGCCACTGAATTGTTCACTTTAAACTGGTCAATTTTACATGAATTTCACTTCAGTTAAAAAGAAATGTCTTTAAAAAGATTTAGCAGAATTACCATATGACTTAGGATTTCTGTTCATAGATATCTCTTCAAGAGAAATGGAAACCTATGTCCACACAAAAATATGTACAAAAGGTGCCTGTCTTTTAGAAGTGTCTCATTACATTTTCAGACGTTGGTGGGGGGGGGTGGTCAAGAAAAGGAAGGAACAATATCAATATCTATGGAGCTTTACCATTTGCAAAGCGAATTTTTGTTCATTGTCTTATTTACTTATTTCTTCCATAAACTTTCTAAGGTAGGAAATTAGTATCCCCATTTTACAAGGAAATAGGTCACACAGTCAGTTGGTGGCAAAGGTAGTACTAAAACTCTGTTCACTTGACCCTAATCCTATGGATTTACCACTATTCCATTTTTAGAACTAAAAAAAATGACTAAATCCACCTTACCTATACGTAGTATATTAGTAACATGATTTTCATGTTTAAATGGTGGATTGTTGCTATTAAATCCAACTGGTAATAACAGAGATGAGGCAAAACTGTCATGGTTGCATCAATTTTATCAACTTAATAAGCATGTGGCTTTGAACAGTTTCTTTGTCTCACCAGTAACTCAGGTGCTTCATCTGTAAAATGAAAAAAAAATATATGATATTTAAGGCTCTCCATAATCCGGATATACCATGATTCTTTGTTGTTCTCCCAAACTGCTTTGGATTAGAACAAAGTAGAGCATTTTCAGCTTGTTGCAGTTGAGTTATTGAAGAAGAGAGAGTTCTGACTTAGGTTCTAGATTAAACCATGTTCGAGTTCCCTATGAAATAATTTAGTGAACATTAGGAGAAAAAATTAGTAGTAACCAAGTGAAAAATCATAGAGAAATCTGTTGAAATTTGAATTGCAGTGATATTTAGCATTGATTTTTTTACTTAAAAGTTTAAAAATTATTAGTGTACAATGCTGTTAGCATAATCAACACATCAGTGATGAATGGAAATGCATTGTCTTGGAAGTTAATATTTCAGTAAGAGAGGTGGCATAGTGTACTGGCCTCATATTCGAGAATTCTGATCCCAAATCTTAGCTTTCCCATTAACATTCAGAGTGGTTAAAAATTATGTTTAGGGACTTTAGAATTCCCATCTATCAATCCACCTGGAGTAAATAATTTATGAAGCCTTCATTTATGAAGTTCATCTATGACTCTGTGAGGATTCTCCTTTCTATTTGCTTTCAAATCCAAGAAATTATTTTTCATACAATTTATAGACCTATTTCCTAGAAATCAAATTAAGCTAATCATGGCTAAGAGTCCCCTCAGTGAAAGTTAAAGGATAATGAGAAAGGGGTGTGCACAAAATCAATTGAGCCTCTCTCTCCACAGCCCATATAAGGCCAGTTCAGAATATTGGTGTATTGAGCTGTCACCTGAAGGGTGTCTGTATTTATCTCTTTATTTTTTTATATATATTTTTATTTATTTCTAGGAGAGAGAGAGACAACATGAGCAGGGGAGGGTCAGAGAGAGAGGGAGTCACAGACTCTGAAACAGGCTCCAGGCTCTGAGCTGGCAGTCAGCACAGAGCCCGACGCAGGGCTTGAACTCACGAACCGCGAGATCATGACCTAAGTGAAAGTCGGACGCTTAACCGACTAAGCCACCCAGACGCCCCTGTATTTATCTCTGTAGGATATTAATACCAATTTGTTAGCTTTGCACTATAGTTCCTTTATTTCTTTCCCCTTCCCAGCGAGGTATTTGTATCACTTGTAGTGTTCTGTCCACTAAACCAGCCTATTATCTCTACTCTTCACTGTATTCCACTGCCTCTCTGGCCAAAGTTTTCTTTATGGCTTTTGGCTGATTGGTGTGCCAATATATTTGTTATTTGTATCTGAATAATGCATTCAAGTGCATACAGTACTATTTCATAAAGAGAAAACAAACTTTGAATACTTCCACATATTAAGCATTAAGCCTGGCAATTTTAATATATTATTTAATGTTAATACAACTTATCTTTGAAGTTATTTTAATTTTAAATATGAGAAAGCTATTACTAGAGGTGTTATATAACTTGCCTATGGTCACACTAATAAATTCAAATACATGTCTCTAGACTCTTTAAGCTTAGGTCTGTTTTTCCTTCCATGTGCATCTATTTTATCGTTTGATTCCCTGAGCAACCCTGTAATCAGGGAAAAGATTATTCACCTTGTTTTACCTTTATTATGCTCTATCACAGTACCCAAAACAGAGGCACATAGTTGATACTCAATAAAGATATGTTGAATAACTAAGTGAACTGAATTAGTTTTATGAATTAAGGAAGTTGAGGTCCAGAATGACTTTCCCAAGGTTATTTGCTGGAGAGTGGCAGTTTAGAGTGAGAAACATTCAATTTTGATGTTTCTATTCTGTAGATTTTTCCCAGGTTTATTTTTAAATAAAACAAATTTTTCTTGCCAGTAACAATAAATATTTGTGGGAAGGCATACTGACTCTCTCTTAAGACTCCTTCTCAACTCTTATCTTATGTCATTTGTTTGTTTGTTTGTTTATTTATTGAGAGAGAGAGAACAGAGGAGAGGGACAGAAGGAGAGAGAATCTTAAACAGACTCCATGCCCAATGCAGGACTCGATCTCACTACCATGAGATCATGCCTGAGCCAAAACCAAGATTTGGTTGCTTCACTGAGCAACCCAGGTGCCCCTCTTATGTCTTACACGATTTGACTAATTGGATTCTAGGAACAGTTATATCTATTAATAGAAACCTTCTAGGTCCAAGGTAGGAATGGAGAAAACAGACCTAAGGAGATACAGTATTGTAACTTGCTTAATTTTCAACTTCAATTTATGAATATAGCTTGCAGTAGAACCCAGGATTTCTGACTCCTAATTTATTCATTGATTCTACACCCTGATTTTTTTGGCAACAATCATATCTTTCACTATAACCCCTTTTCTCTTTTTTTTTTTTTTCAATATTTTTATTTCTAGGATAGAGAGAGCATGAGCAGGGGAGGGTCAGAGAGAGAGGGAGTGACAGACTCTGAAACAGGCTCCAGGCTCTGAGCTGGCAGTCAGCACAGAGCCCGACGCGGGGCTCGAACCCACGAACCGCGAGATCATGACCTAAGCGAAAGTCGGTCGCTTAACCGACTAAGCCACCCAGGCGCCCCGTAACCCCTTTTCTCTTAAACTACCCAAAGTGTTTCATTTTTAGTCCTGTCAAACCACAAGACACTCCTCACAAAGTGAGAGTATCAGTCAACCTGTGCCTGAGTAAGTGGTTAGCAAAGTGCCTAGTGCTTGGAAAGGGTTACAGAAGGCATCCAAGATGAAGAAACATGAGGTAGCTGAGGGTCACTAAAAAAATCAGAAAATTTGGATTTTAGTCTTATTTCTGCCTTTCAAATTTCAAATTTGTGGGCAAATTTGGTGGTGCCCTCTTTGAGCTTATTTCCCCATGTATAAAATGAGAAAAATTAAGTAATTTCTTAAGAGTGCCAGTAGCTTTAACATTTAATGGAGTACTATTATTTTGTTACCCTAACTCCATAGGGTGGTAGGTAGGTATAATAAACATACTCCAACAGTCTGTCTGATTCTATTATTCTGTGAACTTATGCTTCTCTCAGCCAGAAGTGGGGTAAGTTCTTTGTAACACAGTTTTCCTTTTTTAACTTTGAGGACTCTACATTCATGCAACAAAATGTGATGTATAACTTTATGCCACATACTGTTCCCAGGAGAATTGTATTAACAATTTCTGCTTGTGTTTCTTCACTGTTGAGTTGGGGCTGGAGCACATGTTTGGTGAGGCTCTTGTCAATGCTATAGTAAGAGCTCAAGTATAGTGACCACTGTCTGCCTTTTACACAGGCAGTCATTGTAGCAAGTAGAAGTGCTGATTTGGTTAAGATACAGGGCTATTTAATTGGCTCAGTCTATTGATTGAAATTGTCTTAAAGTGTTTACACATGCAATTGTTTCCTATTAAGAACTATTATTTTTTTTATCTCTGTTTCTTCCACTGTCTCAGACTCTCTCCTAAACACGCCCCGGATATTCCTGATGACAGCACTGACAACATCACTATATTTACCAGAATTTTAGATCGTCTTCTAGATGGCTATGACAACCGGCTGCGACCTGGGCTTGGAGGTCAGTTACTATATTAAGATCCCTTTCTTGGCTATTGTCATCTAAAAGGAAAGATTCTTAAGGTAACTTCAGCACTCTCTTGACCAATGAGTTTAGTAAAGTTGGGTTTTTTCCCTCTGATCAGTAGAAATTAGTTCTAACCTTACATTTCAATGGGCAATCTCTCTGGTGTGGCTTTAGAAAATTCTGAATTTCACTTAGCTAAATGCATATAGTGTATTATACAATAGTATTTGGCAAAGCCCATTTCTGGTATCAAAAGACCAATCCCAGCCTAAATGGGAGGCTTGGCCCCAGCATATCTGGGAAACATGCCTTTGCTTTCAAAACCCTCAGCCCATATCAGCCTGAACTTCCAATTAGGAGCAACCTGTTGGCTAGGTGGGATCTTGGTTGACCATTAGTTAAACATGATCAGCAATATGATTACAATGAGATAAATTCATCATAATATATCATGGGCTATATTGAAATGGCAAGTATGCAAATGTATGAGTTTGATTTTTTTCCTGAACCATTTGAGAACTAGTTGCAGATATCATACCCCTTTGTGCCTAAATACTTCAATGTGCATTTCCCTAGAACAAAGAAATTAATTTACAAAATCATAATGCAATTATAAATTCAGAAAATGTAACCTTACATTCTATGTTCTGATCTGTAGTTGATATTCAGTTTTTGCCAGTTGTCCCAAGAGTGTTCCTTATAACATTTTCCGTTGATATAGGATTCAATCCAGGATTATGCATAGGATTTATTTTCACATCTCTTCAGCCTATAATTTGGTATAATTTACTCAGCTTTTCTTTGTCTTTCATGGCATTATTTAGATTTTCCTTATTCATTTTTGGAAGAAATACAGAGTTAATCATATCTTTCTTAGCATATTATTCAACAAGGGATATGACTTCTATTTGGCCCATTATTGGTGATGTTCACCAAGTTATTCCACTCTAAAATCACCCTTTGTAAAGTTTATAATCTATAAGTAATTTGTGAGAAAGTGGTTTGAGATTATTATATTCCTAATTCAGGTTGCATGCAATCATTTTAGCAACTATTGAATATTCTTGCATGAATAATAACTGTTATGGTTGCAAATGGTGATTTTCTAAATGTATTATTCCTCTATATTAGATGGCATTTTGTTATAAGGACAAAACACTTCTCTTTAATTAGGGAATGATTTTCATGAATAGATGAATTAATATTTTATTCAATGAATTGTAATCCTTTAATATTAATCATTTTAATTAGAATTTATGTTCATAAATTTCCGTATTTGCTTAGCAGAAGCCTATTAAAGCTGGCTTCTGTTTCCTTTTGATCTATTCACATACTTTGGGCGCCTTTTTACTTTATGGCATAACAGTATATTCTAGATTTATCTTGTGATTTTCCCTTATTCAGCCTAGGAATCAGCCACTTTTTCCAAGAAGACATGGTACCTTTTTTGTGTGTGGGTGGGAAATTACAGTATATTGAAAGTTCAACTTCTGAGTGTGAGGTGTTTTCATTGCTAGTAGGGTATAATTGCTTCTAGAAACTTTCAGCAGACAGAATTGGAAAGTAACAAATTAAAATTTTAATACATATTCATATATATTTACATATATCTATATAACATGTGTATATGCATATAGACATGTAATATATACACATACCTGTATATATTCCTATATATACATATACACACATACATATATACAAATATGTGTGTGCATGTATAATGAGTTTGTACTGATACCACTAAGTTCAGTCCAACATAGCATTCATTGATTTACTCATTTTTTCAGTCCTACAAGATGCATAAAATGGTGTTTCAATTATTATATCCATACCATTATAATAGACTCACTTCTTAAGTAAATTAGAAGGTATGTTTGCAGTTTTTGTTATTGTTGTTTTTAAATGAAGGCTGTATGACACTTGCTTTGGTATAATGATTGTATCAAGGCAGTATTCCTGAAGAATAGAAGACTAGTCACAAATCAATTGCAGTTGTCCAGGATGAAAGTGATAGCTGTGGAAATGTAGATAATTTGGTGACTGATTAAATTATGGGGCTAGTAAAAGGAGGGGGTAAAGATAACTTCTAGGTTGTTGGCATGGATGACTGAGTAATGCTATTTTCTAAAATAGAAAACATTGGAAGAGGGACAGTGGTATTTTGTTTTATACTATTTCTTTTGGAGTCATGGTTGGAACAAAGTAGGGAAGGAAGTGGAAGTTAATTGGTTGTACACATGTAGAATTTGAATACCCATGAAAAATATGGGTGAAGCTTTTGGCTTTTGGATAACATAGAGTGACAGGGACCAGATTTACCTTTATTACTAGTTCATATAATTTTATTCATGTAAAAATCGTGTAATTTTACTCATGTTTCTTATTTTTTAAATGTTTACTTATTTTTGAGAGAGGGACAGAGTGAGAGTTGGGTAGGAGCAGAGAGAGACGGAGACACAGAGTCCAAAGCAAGATCCAGGATCCAAGCCTGTCAGCACAGAGCCCACTGTGGGGCTTGAACCCACGAACTGCAAGATTATAACCTGAGCTGAAGTCAGATGCTTAACTGGCTGAGCAATTCAGGCACCCCTATTCATGTTCCTTATTTGTTGAGCTTCTTGGTTTGAGTAAATTATAATTTTTTAATCAAATTTAAATGTTTTTGACCATTTTTTCTTCAAATACATTTTCTGCTCTCCTTCAGATAAAGAGAATATCTTAAAGCAAACAGAGTAAAACAAAACACTGCAGCTAAAATTAACAATTTAGGAAACAACAGATGTTGGTGAGGATGTGGAGAAAGGGGATCCCTTCTACCCTATTGGTGGGAATGTAAGCTGGTACAGCCACTCTGGAAGACAGTATGGAGGTTCCTGAAAAAGTTAAAAATAGAACTGCCCTATGACCCAGCAGTTGCACTACTAGAAAGTTATCCAAAGGATGCAAAAATACTGATTCAAAGGGGTACTTGCACCCCAGTGTTTATAGAAGCATTATCAACAATAGCCAAACTATGGAAAGAGCCCAAATGTCCATTACTGATGAATGGATAAAGAAGATGTGGTATACAATAGAATATTATTCAGCCATCAAAAGGAATGAAACCTTGCCATTTGCAATGACATAGGTGGAGCTAGAGTGTATTATGCTAAGTGAAATAAGTCTGTCAAAGAAAGACAAATACCATATGATTTGATTCGTATGTGGAATTTAAGAAAACAGATGAACATACAGAAAAGAAGGAGAAATAAAATAAAATAAAAATATAGAGGAAGTCAAATAATAAAAGACTGTTAACTATAGGGGCACCTGGGTGGCTCAGTCAGTTAAGCGTCCAACTTCGGCTTAGGTCATGATCTCATGGTTTGTGGGTTTGAGCCCTCCGTCAGGCTCTGTGCTGACACCTAGCTCAGAGCCTGGAGCCTGTTTCGGATTCTGTGTCTCCCTCTCTCTCTGACCCTCCCCTGCTCACGCTGTCTCTCTCTCTCTCTCTCAGAAATAAATAAAACATTAAAATTTTTTTTTAAAAAAGACTGTTAACTATAGAGAAGAAACTAAGGGTTGCTGGAGGGGATGTGGGTGGGACAATAGGACTTAATTGGGTGATAGACATTAAGGAGCGTGCTTGTTATGATGAGCACTGGGTGTTATGTGTAAGTGATGAATCACTAAATTCTATCCCTGAAACCAATACTACACTATATGTTAAGTAACTTGAATTTAAATAAAATATTAGAAAAAAAATAAACATTATGTACAGAGGAACAATTTTGCTTCTTGTCAGAAATAAGCAAGCAAGGGGTGCCTGAGTGGCTCAGTGGGTTGAGCGTCCGACTTTGGCTCAGGTCATGATCTCACAGTCTGTGAGTTTGAGCCCCACATCAGGCTCTGTCAGCTCTGAGCCTGGAGCCTGCTTTGGATTCTGTGTCTCCCTCTATCTCTGCCCCTCCCACACTCATGCTCTGTCTCTCTCTGTCTCAAAAATGAATAAACGTTGGGGGGGGGCAAGATGGCGGAGAAGTAGGGAACTCTGTACATTGCATTCGCCCCCATATCTCTCATGGAGAAGGCCTGAAGCCATAGGAACCCTTACACAATCCAGGAGTTTGGGAGGAAAAGGAGACAGAGTCCACTGAGAAAACCTACTAGTGTGAGTGCGAACTGGGGAAGATAAAATTGGGCCTGGACCAGAGACCCAGAGGGACGGGGGCGATTCCTCTCTGCAGGGAGTTTAGAGGGGAAAGAGAGTGGCTGAAACTGCTCAAGACACTGTCGCTGGGGAACAGAAAAACCTCCACTCAGGACACAGAGGGATGTGGTTTCCTGCTCTCCAGCTGACCCTAGGTGGGACACACTCATCCCAGGTGACCCCCGGGGAAACTGCTCCTTGCGCGCCAGCTCGACCTGTAGGGGATGTGCGATGGCTGTGCCTTTGTGCTTCTGGCTAGGCTGGGTCCCTAGAGGAAAGGCAAAGGGCCTAAAACTGGGAGATTTGCCCACGAGTTTGTGTTTTGGGTGATGAGACACAGAGGGTCCTGCTCTCTAGCTGACCCTGGGCGGGACGCACTTGTCCCAGGCAACCCCCAGGGAAATTGCTCCCCCCTTGCCAGCTTGACCTGGAGGGGATGCGTGGTGGTCGCGCCTTTGTGCTTCTGGCTCGACTGGATCCCTAAAGGGGAGGTGAAGGTCTTAAAACTGGGAGACTTGCCCGCGAGTTCGTGTTTCAGGCAACAGGACACAGAGAGACCCAGTTTCCTCCTCTCCAGCTGACCCTGGGCGGGACTCACTCATCCCAGGCTACCCCTGGATGAAACTACTCGTCGCTCGCCAACGGGACCTGGAGGAGACTGGAGCAGCGGCTTCTGGCTCACTCTGCAGGGGGAAGGCAAGAGGCTTGGACTCCCCTGAGGGGATCGCCTGCGAGTTTCTGTCTCTGGCGATTTCAGTGGGGCACTCAGACTGAGGTCTGGAAACGAGGCCTGGCCTGGGAT